GCTCAATGTCCAGGTGGAAACCAATGATGAGTAGCGCTCCTCAGGGGTTGATACTGGGAGCAGTGCTGTTCAACATCTTTGCTGGTGACACGGACAGTGGGATTGAGTGCACCCTCAGCAAGTTTGTTGACAACACCAAGCTCTGTGGTGCCATCCAGAGGGACCTTGACAGGCTTGAGAGGTGGGCCCATGCAAAGCTCATGAAGTTCAACAAGGCCAAGTACAAGGTCCTACACGTTGGTCAGGGCAATCCCAAGCACAGATACAGGCTCGGTGGAGAATGGATTGAGAGCAGCCTTGGGGAGAAGGACATTGGGGGTGTTGGCTGATGAGAAGCTCAACATGAGCCAGCAATGTGCGCTCACAGCCCAGAAAGCCAACCATATCCTGGGCTGCATCAAAAGAAGTGTGGCCAGCAGGTCAAGGGAGGTGATTCTGCCCCTCTACTCCACTCTGGTGAGACCCCACCTGGAGTACCGCATCCAGCTCTGGAGCCCCCAACATAAGAAGGACATGGATTGTTGGAGCATGTCCAGAGGAGGGCCACGAAGACAATCAAAGGACTGGAGCACCTCTCCTATGAAGACAGGCTGAGACAGTTGGGATTGTTGAGCCTGGAAAAGAAAAGGCTCCAGGAAGACCTTATAGATTAGGTATTGGGAAGAAATTCTTTACTGTCAGAATGGAAAGACAATGGCATAAGTTTCCCAGAGAAGTTGTGGATGCCTCATCCCTGGAAGTGTTCAAGGCCAGGGGCTTTGAGTAACCTGGTCTAGTTGGAGGTGTCCTTGCCCATGGCAAGGGGTTGGAACTAGACAAGCTTTAAGGCCCCTTCCAACTCAAACCTTTCTATCATTCTGTGAAACTCTGTCCATCAGTCCGGTATGAAGTTCAAATGGCAAAAGCAACAGTAGACAGTAGATTTTCAGATTTTTTTTTTAATATAATATGGTATATTTTTCTGCATCAGGCTAGAGATCAGCTTTGTCACTGTCTCCCCTCAGAATATAGGGGCCAGAATAGCACAAGGGGAGTGAAATACCTATAGGCAAGAAGAAGATTTTCTTGATTTGGAGATTGCAACCATCCAAGAGAACTGTCGCACGGGTTGGGCAGCACATAAGATTTCTGAAATGCTAGCTGAAATATCTGTTGCAAATAGTTACAGAAGGTTTACAGCAATACAAATGAGATAGCGCACAAATATTATTGCTTTGCTTTGGAGAAGTATTTCTAGGATTTAAGATAACACAGGTGTAGTCTCAAAACTAGATGAAATACTGTTTTAATGTTAAGCAAGAATAATGATCTGGGGATGGGGAAAAGGGGAGCAAAATCTCTCCACAGAAATTTGTTGAAAGAAAAAAAAACAGAGTACCATATTCTTCTATCGTAAATACCAGTTTCCATTTTTGCATTTTGATATTACTGAGATACAGAAGCAAAAGTTTAGTAAGTACATTTTTTACCAAGTTTTGCCAAGTAATGTTGTGTGACTGCAGAATATTTAAGAAACTGAGGAGAAAAGAATTATTTGGGCAATTACACATCTCTCTATCTGACCTTAATGATACGGAAGTTTATAGAGGAAAGGATAATCCAACATGTGGAGGTTAATGAGAGTAGCATAAAATGAAAACTAATTTATTGGTTGTAGACTAATCTGCCAGCTTTGACTTAATTTCTTTCTTTTTTTTTTGGCACAGGAAATCTATGTTGACTTCAGGAAAGTATTTGATATTATGAGAGAATATTCATTAGAATAAAAAGTGGGAGAAACTGTCTAAAAGTATTGTCTAAAATAAATATGGCAGAAAAATAAAACTTTGATATTAGGCCAATGAGCATGTCTGACAAAGCTTTGCCAGCTGAGAGGAGGGCTGGGTTGTCATCACTGAATGATCCTGAGGAAGCAGAGTAAAATAAATGAAAATCAATAGTGTGAAGTACAAGATCATGCATATTGATACAGTAATAAGAGCTTTGGTCAAGGAAAAAAAAAAAAAGGATATTTTATTCTAAGATAATCAGAGAATGTATTTCCAGTAGAACTGTAGAAACAGGAATGCAAACATTAAAAGGGCTGGTGGGTCATCTCCTGAAATACTGTGCAGAAAGGTTTTAAAACAGAAGCAGGTGAAGAGGCTTCTGGAATAATCATGGTATTGGAAAACCTGAATCAAGAGAGGAAACTTTAAGAGCAAAGTTGTTTTCAAAGGCAGAAGGTGAGGTGAGGAAATCTAATTATTATCTATAGAAATATCAGGAGCCTTTTTGCAAACAGGGGTATGCAAATTCAGCGGGTATAATTGGGAGAATGTTCAGGCACACATGCATTGTATTCAGTGAACGACTGGGTTTTGCAAGCTCACTAAACATTCAGAACCCCAGTCTTTGACTTTGTTTCAAAACTATCATATGAGTTGTTTACTTGGTTTGACTTGGGTTTATATCTGAATCCTCCCAGGACTAGGGGTCAAAGTTAGGATTTTTTTTTTTTTTTTCTACTCATCTTCCATTCTTCGATGTCCCTTCAGATTTTATACCATGTCTCCTAGAGATGCACAAGGGAAGGTTGGCAGGTATTTTATGTGATCTTTTTGTTGAAGAGCTGCTTATATTTACAGATGATTATTTTTTTCATCTGTTTTCACTAAATTGGAAGTTGAAAGACAATAGTACCAAATGAATACCAGCATATTGTGAGGTAGGGTCTGCTTGAGGCTGTCACCAGAAATATAGTCTTAAAGGAAAATATATCTAATAGTTGTGCACTTCTGAAATCAAAGGAATGCTGAATTTTTATATTCAGGAACAACTTAAGATCATGACAGAGGAAACAAAAACTTCAGAACAAGATAGAGATGTAAAGATTCTTGATCAAATATGTAACAAGGTGAAAAGAACTGAGGTAATAGAAATAAAAATCGGCTTTGCTGGAAGCAAGAATCAAAAAATCTCTTGTATATAAGCTGTTAATCAGCTCTAGGTACTGAGGTTGGTTGGTTTTCTGTCTGGGTAAAATAATGTAGCTGTTACTCAGCTTCTACCTGCCATTGATGTAGAGGGTTTTTTGGTGGGTTGGGGTTTTTTAGGGTGTTTTCTTTTGTTTTAAAACCCATGTACTTGCTGAGTCTCATCATTCTGACATTTTGTAAGTATGTCACTTCAATTTTATGCTATCACCTCTTTCTATGCAAGACAAACTATATTGTGAAGAGTCCTACCGATAGTTATATTAAGCACAAGCTATTATATTCTATGTTTCTTAGCAGCTTTCTAAGTAAATCAGTGTCTTAAAATTGCAAGTGTGCCTACCCTTGAAGGCTTCTTATGACAGCAGAACTATGACTTCATATTGAAATCAGGTTTGTTTGTGGAACCTGTGAATCAACATTGTCAGCTTCTAATTTTAGCTCTGCTTTCCAAACAAGGCAGTTTCTTAACTGTTGAAGCCAACTGACCTACCTGGTGATGATTTGGGCTTACCATTCACTGAGTGAAAATCTGCCAAGTCTAACATACAGTTGGAAAACAGTGTTTTTGAGTAAAAGGACAACAACAAAAAAATGTAAAAATTAGTATTATAAACAAAATGATGAGTTATAAATTATATGAACATACATTTATATTCCCTTATTCTTTGTAGAAAAGTTGATTGTCTCCAAATTGTTCGGGTTGTTTTTTTTTTTAAATTACATTAGTATTTTAACAGGTTGCCATTGATCGTTTTATAGTTGTGTTAACCTTTCTGCTGTGAATGGGATTCTAGTTGCTATGCAACATTTTACTCTAGTTGTTTGGGGACTCTGTAAGGCTTTTATGAGAGAAAGATGTGTTTAGTGTGTGTATCTTAATTTCCATTACATAACTTTACTCAGCAGGTGAAATAAAGGATCCACTACAGATCCTAGTAACATTATAGGGCCACAGATTTTCTGCAGGGGTGTTTTTAGATGAAGTTGAGGGTAGCTTTACCTTTATAGGTACAGTATATTATGAATGAATGCAATAAATAATGAAAAAAAAAAAAAAGAAAAAAATCAAATTATTAGACTAAAATTCAGAGTATGCTCTTATCTATATACATTATTCCTTTGGAACATACTTAAATGTTAAGTTTACTTCATAAACAATCATGAAGTAAGTTTTAACTGATTCCAATAATATAAATCCAGGATAGAATACATGCTAGCAGGAGTTATCCTCAGGTTACTTTTATGGTCTTGATAGTTTAATCAACTGTTTACAGATCAAGTGTTCAACTTCCACGCGTTGCTTCAAATGGATGAAAGCTGTATTTCTCTCTTTCTGATAAAGAAAATTTGCACTTTTTCTACATCTTTCTATAAATCCCTGATGTTTCAGTTTTACTCTTTTTCCTAAGTCCCTGTTTTGCTCTGCCGCACCATCTCAAGTGCTTGTACTTCCCTCCAGCTTGGCAAGTACTTTCGCTCTGACAAATCCTGTTGTGTTTTTTTACCAGGCATCGTGCTTTCAAACTGGGGAATAGACTCTTAGGTTTCATGCGTAGGTGTTTAAAACCCCCATTTTCTCTGTTTTGAGGGTCTTAGTTTCTTCATGATCTTCCATACAAACGTTCATATTTTCTGTTTCAACAGAATGAGATTGAAGAAAGCTTTGTGGTTCTTGGAGTAGTTTCAAAACTTGTCATTTGGTTAAGGAGAAGAGACAGACTGGCATATGTATATCTCAGGTTATTTAAACCAGACTGTGAATTGCAGTGCAAAACCTTAGGCATAAAAATAAAACAAAATACAGTGTTCAAAGAGCATACATCTAATCAAAATAAGGCAACCACAGAAGTGAGGGGAATTGAACATTGTAGAGTGACCCCTTCGTATTGTAATTTGTTCAGTGCGCTTCTATTTCAGAATTAAAAACATAGTATGGTGATTTGGGTAAGGTTTTAGCTCATGTATTTTACAAACCATGTTTCTTGTTTAAGGTGTTAACAGAATGAATGTTCTGTATTTTAGTCTCAGCGGAAAACCTGGAGAAGAGCCTGAAGCATATGGAGAGGCAACTCCAACAGCTTGAGAAGGATTTGCAGACTTTTCCAGTTCCTGAAGATAAGCACGATAAGTTTGTAGCAAAAATGTCAATATCCTTTGGAGTATTCTTAAAAAAAAATAATAAAAAAAAAGAAACCAACACCAAACCCCCAAAAAACAAACAACAGAAATAATTTAAACTGCATTACATTAAACTTTTAAATTCTTTGCATAACTTTTGTCTAGTCTGTAGCATATATTTTTGAAAAATATAGCTTTTTTCTGCTCAAAAACTAAGTACATGAACAGTCCAATTAAAAGATTCATCTGTAGTGGATAGAATGAGGAGAAGAATTCTTGCTGTCAGGTTTTACGCTGTGTATAAGTTTCTTAACTTAGGGAAAAGTAGCTATAATAAGAACTTAAGCATTTCACTTCAGTGTTAAATGATTTGTACATGAGAGTATCTTAAAAAAAGAGGTTTGTCACCCTGTGTTTATTTGTTTTTCAGTGTATGCATCACCACTGTGAATGTTTTTATACATGCAGTCACAGAACCAAAAATTTTCTCTTATTTCAGAAATTAGATTCATAACATGTAAAAACTGGATTCTGGTCTTATTTTTGCCAAAATTCCTTTTCTCACTATTTATTCCAAAACCTTCAGCCAGCTTCACTGCCTGCCTCTCTCATAAGAAAGCCTTGGGACATGAAGATACTTAATTAAAGCAGAAAAAAACGTTCTTTCACTTAAATCTCTATCAGGTGATGGTCATATATGCTTGGCACTGAGACTAATCTGGAAGCAGAAATATCAGCAGTTAGAGAGGCAGGTTGAAGTTTCCTCTGCAGGCATGGTTAGGTTATTACCTAGCTGGAAGACTACTTCGTTATGTACAAAGGCAGGGGCACTCAGGGGACAGTTCTCTTGATTAATCTCATACTATTGAATAAAAGATGGCAAGGGACCCTCAGGCCAAGTGGATACAGTGGTTCTTGCTGCATAAGGGCCAGTTTCCTCTTCAGGAGACTAGCTGCAACCAAAGTGTCTACAACTTAGCTTTAGGCCTTCTCTGGACTCTGTGGGTTATCTGTAACCTTTCAGTTTTGCTACTAATTTTTGTGTAAGGTTGGGTATTTTGTTGGTGAGGTTGTTCTCGTGGTGGTGGTTGTTGTTGTTGCTGGCTTTTTTTTCCAGCTCAATGTGATTTTGAGAGATATGTTGCAGCCCACCAGCATGGAGTCTCTATAGTACAAAACATAAGTGTTGTCCCTGAAGAAGCCGATAGCATAGTAGGGGACCGAGGAGAGGGGTCCTGAAGGCAAGAGATAAACTATTGCAAGGAAGTTAGGGGAAAATGTATCCCTGATAGCTTTCTCAGAATTAGTGCTAGGACTATGCAAAGTCTGTGCTTGGTTAAGAAAATAATGTGTAGTCTAGGAAGTTAGGAATGGGGAGCGCTTACTAAGAAATTTAACCTATGAAAATGGACAGACTTTTTATAATCCATTAGAAAAGAATAGACTATTTCAGTTGGAAGGGACCTACAACGATCATCTAATCCAAAACAGTCATGATGCTGGCACTTAAAATACCCTATAACCTTTTACATTTTTAAGCTGAAGACTAGGGTTTCAAGTAACAAGTAATTTAGCATACAGCTTTCTTTGGACATGTGGTTATAAAACTTCTGTACCTGTAAAACAGATAAGAAAGAAATTAGAAAATTCAGTTGAGAGTAAGTGAAGAATACCCTGAAGAAAACAGCTTTGCTTAAGAAGGAGAGCACAGGAAAACTAAGTTGAGGAACAACTATGTACTTCTATGCTAATATCAAAAATGCAACATGTAGGAAGGCTCATTTCCCTCTATGTTACTGACATATTGGGCATTTCTGAAACTTGATGGCAGGAAGTGAGTGGAATACTACTAAGTATATATGAGTTTATAAATTGTATTTAAAACAGAATAAGTCACAGTTGTAGAGAAACAGTATGAAAGGTTAAAATATAATAAAAGTCAGATAAGGTAAACAGGTGGAACTTGTCAATAAATATCGTAACTTTTCCATAGGTTGAAATTCCATCCCCATATATGAAGAGCTTTAGAGCAGTTTACTGATTGCTTAAAAAAGATAGTGATCATCTTAGGAAATGCAAAGGAGGATCTATATGTCATCTTTTTCAAGCATCTCAAAAGCTGTAATCCTGCCAGAGAAGACATAGATTGTCAGTGTGTGCCAAGAAGATAAGCCATAGCCATAAAGATAAATTTGTTCTTTGCATCAGTTTTCTCTAGGGAGAACTTTGGTTGACCCCACTGTGCAATATTTTGTGTGGAAGGATAATCTCAAATGAAGGAGTCAGTAGAAGTTTTTTTGAAGGAAAATATAAAATAAATAGCAATAAATCCGCAGGAGTAACCAGTGGTCACAAAATACTTGAAAAGATTTTAAAATTAACTTAAATATAAACCTATTGGACTATAGATTCTTACATGAACTAAGTTAGCCCAAGACACCAAAAGAATCAAAGCTGAAAAAAAGCACGTGAGTTTTTTTAAAAGGTCTTCAAGGAGGAACTGCAAGTCTGGCTTCTCTACCAAGAAAAATGAAGAAGACTAAATAAAAACAGAACATGTATATATGGGAGATATATTAAGATGGGGGAGAGTCAGCACGGGTTTTGTAAAGAGAAACCTTCCCTTGCAGATCTATTACAGCATGCAGATAAAGGCAGGAGAACCAGTAGAGCATAACTGAATTTCCATGAACCTTTCAATAAGGTGTAGTAACAAGGCTTCCAAGAAACGAAATTTTTTAGGTCAAAAGTGGAATGATTTTTTTCTGGATCAATATCTTAAAAAAAATAAAACAACCAACCAACCAACAAAACCAAAAACTCAAGTCAAAAGGTAGATAATGGCAGATGCTGACAAATGAACAAGTGAACTTCAATGATGCTAGAGTAATAGGCCTGAAGGAAAAACATTATATTAGAACAACTGAGAACAACTGTAGTTACGAGCAAGCAGAAAACATAAAGAAGTTGCTATAAAAATCAGTAATACTCTTATATCTGGAGTGCTTCCATCACCCGATCTCAAAAAGTATACTGTATAGCTACTGATGTGGCAGAGAACGGTGACAATGATCATACATTGCATACACAGTATGCAATAGTTTCTGCATCAGGGATGTTTTAATAAATTAGGACTCTGAAGGTAGAGAGCCCAAAAAGTTAGGAAAATACAGTAAAAATACTTGTAATTTTTTATGCCATACAGAAGGAAAGCTAGGAACATATTCATTGTGTCTTATAAATAACCAGGGTTCATTTCGTGTAAAATACTGCCCAGCAGGTTAAAACACACAAACAGAAATTTTTTCTAACACAACTAACACTGTATCATTTACTTTTAGGACGTTGTAGAGGCTGAAAATGTAAATTAATTTTGTATGAGGCATAGATAGTTAGCTAAACATAGAATGTCTGGAGCTATTAAACACAGTAGTCCAGGGGTAGCTTTAGCTCAGAAAAATCCCTGACATGCAGGCTGTTAGAAACTAAATAGGACATCAGTTAAATTATGCTATACTTACCAAGTTTCCTTCTTGTTTTCCCTAATCATTGGGTATTGATTGCTGTCAGAGACAGGTGAGATGAATATGTGGTCTTACTCAGAGTAAATCAGTACAGGTAAGACCAGCCATACTACATATTTCATTGTATCAGACTATTCAATATTTTGAACAGTAAATATTATGAACAGGAATAGTTTGCCCTCCCTGACTTCCCTTCCCAGCAGACAGGCAGTAATTTCAAAACAGTGAAGTTGCATATGGTTTCTAGTAATGTCTGTGAACACACTAATTACAGCAGCTCACTTTTAGAAAAACGGGAACTTCAATAAATTACGAAGCAAAAAAGGTTTGATGTAAAGGTTAGATAATCCCGCACAGCATGATGAAGCCTGGACCTGTCTTTACTTTTATTCCTATGACAAGGAAAGCTGAATGATGCTGATGTCTTGAAAGGCATGCAGCTCATAAAAAGAAAGCAGCAGGAAATCTGAGAAAGGAAGGATGGTGCTTTGTTGGAAATAATTTTTCATCCTAAATACAATTAAGCTCCATGGACAAGCAGGCTACTTCATCCTGTCGCTAAATATCACAACCCAAAGGCCCCTAATGAACTGATTAGCATTCTTGTTTCTTTAGGAAGTCAGATATATGCACAGTTGGTGCACTCTTTTATTGACAAAGTCTATAATTATGAATATTTCTCCTATATATTAGATTTACTAGTTTGTTAGTCATCTTATGTATACTAGCTGAAAAGAAATAATAGTTATTATTGCAGTTCTGTTTGCTTTAATTAGGAAAGTCAAAGAATATTGAATTGATATTGATCTAGAATATTAAATCCATTGAGTGAAATGTTCAATAAAAAGCACAGTGAACAAAATACACTTGTACATTCAAAATAAAAAAATTAATGGGAGAGTATTTAAATTGCATATTAAAAGCTTAATTAAGTAATTTAGTCAACATGCTCTTTATCAGTCCAGCTCGCGACTCATGATTTTCTAAGTAGCAGCTGAGAAGCTCTTGACAAGTTTCAGCCTACCACTGAATGTAGTGTTGATGGTGATTTTCACAGAAGCTTATGGAACTAACACTTGAGAGACGACGAGTTGGTTGCTGCTTTTCAGCTAGGAACAGAATCCTTTTTTTTTTTTTATTAGTTCTCTATTCCTCTTTCCTTGTCATTTAAGTTAATTTGTTGACATGGTGAAAAGGGAAGGAAGGAAGGAACAACACTTACCCAAGTCCGAGCCTGATTCAAGTGAGGCAGAAGCAGCTCACTGCAGCTGTGAGGAAGGTATTACATGCTGCCTCTAAACTGTTAATTACTTAATCAGCCTCATCATTTGAATTTCCCTCTGTGCAACATAAACAAACGGAATGCTGTAAGATGTCCTCACATCCTAAGGACTAAGATTACAGGACCTGAACTCATTAGGTGAAAAAAGGTTGTATGTTGGTCTTTGGGACAGTGTCAAGATGTTGACTGTGTGGACAGGTAATGAGATAGGGCTTTGGCAAACAATGCAAATTTAATTTAAGTATATAATTCTTTTATACAGGTCTTTAATTTCTGGTCTGGACTTTAGGTGTGTGTTACAGTTAACACTGGTTTTGCTTATGGTGTATGCACACTGCATGCAGCAGCTCTGCGTCAATTTGGTTTAATATAACATGGAGATAAGTAGGAGTGAGTGAGTCAAGGAAAAGGTATTATTTGAGAAATACTCTTCAGAAAGTACTGATTTAAAAATCTAAACATTTCTGTTTGTTTCTTGAACTATTATATTCAGATACAGAATTTTACTGTTGAACCTGCTATATGCGTATAAAAGGAAGTCTCTATGACACGTATTTTTCAGACAGTTGCAACTATTTTCCCAAGAATTTGATATGGGAAGTCCTCAACAGTGCCCTACAACATTCACACCCTTTTGCCTTAGGAGAAAATAATTTGTTGAAATTCTGGTTTGAAATGGCCTCAAAGTCTGCTTGCAGTAGTCGTTGAAAAGTTTGCTATGTTTTTACAGAGACTGTTGCTGGCTAGTGTAGTGACAGTCTCAGTTCCATTTTGAAGATTCTGCTAATATATATGTAGCAACCTGTGCCCATGTTAATTTTATTTTTTTTTCTTGTGCAGAATCGTATTCCTTTTCTGGATTGTCTACACTTAATACGTAGGTTAGCTTGTGAAAAAACCCACAAGTGGTGAATATGGGGTCTTTTAAGGAAATGTTTGGTACAGATTAACATCATTCATTATCTGCTCTAGGGTAACAACAGCTGTTTTTACTTGGCTTGATAGCCTGTACTATATTAGTATTTTATGTAGCACAAAATTAAAATCAGTATAAACTTCAGACAAGCAATTCAGTATGAACAGAACTGCCATGAATATGCAAGACCAAACAGACCGCAGTTAGAAATTTTGCCGTAGATACTACTTGTCTCAGCCCTGTGTTGCTTTCCTGTTCCATTAATGAGCAGAATGATGATCTGTAGTCCCATGAGTCCAAAAAGGCAGTCGGTGAAGTGAAGCCGCTTCAGAAAAAGTTAACAAATACCTAACTTCTTGATTTCCTTTTACTCCTGCCTGTGTTGCAGCTCTGCTCTACTTCTGTCTTCATTCATCCAAAACCAATGAATTCTGTAGCTGATAATGCATATATATCAACCTGTTCATAATAATTACAGTTGGGATTGCTGTACTCAGTAGTATTCCCTGTTGTCTCCAGTTTAGCTAGTGCTGGCTAACAAAAGCCATATTTAAGGCAAATAGGAAGGGGACTTATTAAAAATACCTAAATTGAAGCACAGTCTCAGTAGAATGCCAAGAGCTTAAGGTATCCCGTGATGCACCAGGCGGAAAACAAAAATCTCCGGATTCATCATGTCTGACATTGAAATACTGGTTAGAAAACATCTTTCCAGAGTGCTGTATTTTGAGTTTAAAATTGTGTATCACATATTCAAGAAGAGTCAGTTTTAACAGTATAAACTAAAACTGTATTAACATAGCTGTAACTTTAGCTATGTCTTGCAGAATATTACAGAAATTTCGTCTCTCACCTCCGCCCCCCTCAGGCTTTCTTTTCAGGATGTGCTCTGGCATATCATTCATTTACAAGGTGAAGTATACGTTTTATTGATAATTTAAAGGGTTTTTTTTCCTCAGGTTTTTTTTTTTTTTCCTTCTTAGAAAGCTGAAGAAAGTTACTGGAATGTTTGATGTATGGCACTTATACACAGTGACAACAAAACAAATGTATCTAATTTTCCTTTACCCTTCCACTCTGTGGAAATAAACAGCCTCATAATTGCAAAAAAAAAGTAGTGTAGTTTTCCCTAGGTTCTGATAATCACAAATAAGTATCCTGAATTGTGTGATCAAAAATAAACAAGATGTAGAAATGCTTGCTTCTAGTTTCACTCAGCATTAATTCTACTGTTTTCCTTTATTACAGTTGTTTGTTGCTTTGGTTTGTTTGGGTTTTTTTCAACTGCTGGTATTTCTTTTGAGGTTCCTAACTTGTGTTTTGTCATGTCTTGTTTCTCATAATCCTTTTTTTATTTAGTATTTGGGTAGCTATTACATACTAACCTCTCATCAGCTTTCCTCACTGTCTCACCAATAGCTTTTTAATATCCTTAATAATTTCAAAGAAACTCAACTCTTAAGGGTAGCTTCCTGTAAGCTTTGTGCATCTTGGGAGCTAAGTAGAGGCGAGAGATTCAAAGTGATATGGAAGAAAAATTTGGCCAGCTACATCAATTCTCTTTGAGCTGTTGCTAGCCAGCAGAGGCAGTCTGAAGCTGCTCACGAGCTGCATCTTATGTCAATAGAAAGATGGAAAGCATCTCAATACTGGCTAAGGAGCCTTGTCAGAGGAAGAGAAACTCTGAAATCAAGTGGTCGGGAGGTGATGGAAGATGTATCATTTAAAATCATCAAAATCTAGGTGCTTTGCTAGTCCTTTTCTATAAGACTTTCTCAGTGGAGACTCTTCTGCCCTTACAGACCCAGCTAATCGCCATCATAGTGACTAATTTGAATGTTGTGAAAGTGTATTATTTCTCCTTTCCTGTATGCGTCTGAGGATATTATTGTATGACTTTCTGGCATGGATTCTAAATCACAAAAAGAAAACCATTAACTGCTTTCTTAGTATTTTAAAAGGAACATTAACAAACCGGAAGGACATTTAATAGTGAAATTGAAACAGATTCAGCCTCTAAACAAAACTAACAGAAGAGTGCATTGCAAAAATCCTGAAGGGCAAAAGCACTCACCCAGCAGTAGATTATTACTCTGTATTTAAACCAGCATGGTGAACAAAAACTGTGTTTGTCTACATTTTAATGCACTCTGTTAAAAATCCTGTGCTTCATAAAGTGACCGTAGTATATGTATCTGTAGTATGAAGTATAGAAATACAGTAAATTCTCTTTTGCATCAGTTGGGGTGGGCAATTGGGAATAAAGGGAAAATTTTTGTTTCTTATCTTTTGTAGTCTTACCTGCAGCAGGAAAATAATGTAATATAAATATTTTGTTTAGCTACCATTCCATTAAAGTAAGCACTTCATGAAGTTGTCTTACATAAGGGAATGACTACAGACAATATTTCTTCTCTGAGTTTCTTTGACAAACTATATTATCAAAATTCTTGAATAAACATGGGGTTTTTATTTAATTTATGTTTTGCATTATTTCGGTGCTGTTTATGAGTTGTCTATCTCTTGTAGAAACAGCTCTATTGTTTTCACTGCTAATTTAATTAAGTTGCATTGACATTGCAAATAACCTTAGAAAAAGCATAAATACCTGATGCAGCCACCAGGAATAGAAATGAATGGATTGCTGTTGCAACAGCATTTTTTTAAAAAAAAAAACAGTTAAGATGAAGTTTTTAGTCTTTCATAGTTTTTACTTTTAATACTGTTGTTTATTAATATTTCTACTTTTGCTCTAATCTTAGCGGAAACTATATGATTTCTTGATATATGAAAGTATTCAGGTTGGCTATTGGTGTCTGTACCTAAATTCCATATAAATAGTAATTTATATATCTAAACTTTCAGCTTCAATAAGGAGACAGTGATACCAAATAAACTACATAGCTGCTTGAAGTTAGATTAGTCCCCTATTTTTCATTTCATATAAAATTAAATGCTAATGGAATAATCTTTAAATTTAAAGTGGCTGTGAAAGTTTGATGAGAGCACCCTGATTTATTCATAGGCTTAATATACACAGTAAATACTAGGAAGCATGTATTATTTTGATACTTCATTTGATGCAAATGTAAAATGTGTATGAAATACAGATCGATGTTAAGGAAAAACTGGGCATTTGACTGGATTTACTGAGTATTCTTGCAGCCTTAACAGCAGCGTACAGCTTTCTAGTTCATGCCAAAGAAGATTTTCAGAAACTTTCGCGGATGCACGAGAACATGGAAAAACTCTATCAGAACGTGATGAGGTATTATGCCATTGATCTGAAGAAAGTTTCGGTGGAGGAGTTTTTAACAGACTTAAACAACTTCAGGACAATGTTCATGGTACAGTCTGTTTATTTTATGCTTAATGTTTTTTAGAAATTAGTTTTCTAATCTTTCAGTTACTGAACAAACTAAAAATAAATGCATTCCTCCTCAAACGCCATCTGATACTCATACCAGAAATTTTACTTTGCACATCCTAGATTTTTAGGATATCCTAAAGATAATGGAGTTTTGAATTATTATTTGTGGATTATTTCTTTCTGAAAGAATTGAAAATTCCTCGTAACAATGAATGTAATTTAAATCTGAGCCTCTTATTATGCATGTATAACCTAAAGGGCAAAAATCTGAAACTCTAACTTTTTAAAATATGACTGCATTTTCTGTTTAAAGGATGCTTGTTATTTACTTAAAAATAAATATTCTAACAATTATTCTATATTTATAATGCAAATCTTCCCATGCAATATCCAGACCAAAGATTTTATTTCATTTAATTTTTTGTTTGCCTGCAGCACTTGATCAGTGCCAAAGTTTGCGTCTGTAAGCAGGTTCCCTGCTATGGAAACTCAGAGCTCCTTATCCTGGCTTAAAAAATAGTATATTTTCCTCAAACTCGGTCTGTTTCTAAGGACCTTTAATTTTTCTGACAATATATTGTCTAGGCTTTTGATTTTATGCATTTTTAAATGCTTACTTTCTTCTTTTTCCTTTTAAAGAGGATGATCTTTGGGGGTAGGGGCTAAAAAATGATTATTTTATTATTATTTTATATATTTTAATTATATTTGAGAAACAGACAATAGACTGATCCAGGTTATTGTTGGATAGCTGCTTTTGTATAGAGCTCAGAACGTATTTATAAGCATAATTCAGACTCACTGTTAGTTAGCATAACTTTGCCTTGGAGTCATCTAAAATAGTCATAGATGTGGAGGTTAGCTCTGTCCTTGTGTCTCAGGGCAGCATCTGCATTACATATACAAATGTATGCACATACTAGCTCATCATGAAAGCTTGAACTATTTTGGAAATCTGATTTTATTTTTCTTTGGGTATTTTTTGAGTCCGAATGCTTTTTCATTACGGGTACAAATTTTAATAGTAGGGGTTCTTTTTTTTTTTTTTTTTTTGTTCTTGTTTGGTTTTTGTTTTTAATTCTACCAAAATGTGAGTTAAGAATTTAACAACAGACCTTTCTGAAAAGTGAGGTAGAAATTTCTCACCATGGTATTTTTTTGCATGTTTGGAGCTGATTATGTATGACTATAAACAGTCATCTTGGCAAATTTCAGGATAGTGACATGTTTGCCAAAATATTGCAGGGTTTTTTACCATTGTCAATGTTTCTTCTGGAATAAGGATGATTAATTTGATGATGTACTTCAGAATACATACTCAAGACTGCTATATCCCTCAACTTAAAATAACCAACAACTTGGGGAAAACTGATGGCTATATAAGTTCAAAATACTTTCATAAAGCTCTTATTTAGGATTAGTGAGGATCACTATCTTGGTCATTTATAACTATGTCCAGATTTGGTAAAGTTAGAGGGGCAGGGAGAGGTTGTTGATTTTGTGTGGAGATTGTTGTTGGTTTTGATTGTTCGGGGGGAGGGGGGGGGTGTTGTGTGGTTGTTGGGGTTTTTTTTTAAGCTTTCATTGCAAGAATATTTTTTCTCTTTGATTCTGAACACTTGGGTGGTAAGCAACTCTTTCTCAATGAAGAAATGGAGGAATAAAAAGGCAGGTCCCCAACTGTATATGAATTTATTCATTTATAACTTGGAAAAGGTGACTCATATCACATCTGGCTACCTATGATTACATAGCTTAACTTACTGGCTACACTCCTGCAGGAATGTTGTCTGAGCATGAGGTTTGTGACAAAGTCTGGAGCAGTGATCTAACTCATGCCTATTGATCTGTAGAAAGATTCAATTAGTCATTTTGCCATCTACCCCTCGTTGCAGCCTGACGCTTATCATTACAACACACTTATTTACGTTGCTTGCATGTTTCCCAGTCTTCTTTGGTTTTGCATGGTTGGTTGTTAGGGTTTTTTTTTAAGGATTTCAGATATGTCTGAGGTTGTAGATACAGAAAAATACTTCTTTCGTAGATATTGAGAAAAGGTTTGAAATTCCTGCGTCCATCTATTTTGAGGAAAGGACTTAAAATGAAACCCGTATTTAGCAAACATATTGCAACATGTAAAGATTACCAGGCCTCTGCTACTTTGGAGTTTAACAGCTTAAAAATTAGAAGGCACAATTCAATCAGAACGATTTTGCTTGGCAAGTTGCATATGCCAGATTTTTCAACATGGGCATTGAATATGTTTTCTTAACTTCATCAATGGCTAATTTGAAACTCAGGAGTCCCATTTCAAAACTGCTAAATGTTATGAAATAGTTGTATTACTTCAATTTCTGATGTTTAAACCATACCTCCCATTTAAATGCTGTAGAATAAAAATTCTAAATGCTTAGGTTCATTTTGAATTGGAGACTTAAAGAAGTGGCTGTGCTTTGCCTTAATTTCCTCGTATTTCTTTTCTGTGTCTGTAAAATTAGCGCTGATACTAAGCCCTGCTTCACAGCAGTGTTATAAAGATAGATTAATTAATGCTTCGAAGCAGTTAGATATTATTGATGAGCACGATAGAAGAAACCTTGAGGAAAATTAATAATTCTGTCTTGCAGAGCACAGTTTGAAGGCTATGTAAAAAAAGTGTGTAGATAAGGCATGAAACCACTTATCATTCAATGACACTAAACAAAATATTGAGTACCTGCTCAGTTTTGAGACTTTTTGGAAAAGATTTTCGAGCTACCTAGTGTGAGACACCTGAGGTCTGATTTTCAGAATTGTTTAGCATTGGTCTTGATTACTGACAGAAACTGAAGGTGGTTGGCATCCTGGAAAACTTCGCTCAAAAGACTTTTAAATTTAGTGCTGAAAAATCATGGGATTCTTAAAAAGTCCATAACTAAAAGACCACTTAAGTCACCATTAGGTGTGGGAAAGTGAAGTTCAGTCATCCTTGTTGTCAAGCGAAGTTGATTATTTGCATACAGTACTTACCTACTTATAACGCTTTTTTTGTTCTCAATTTATGAAGATGTTTAAAACATTAAAAAAAAACATGTTTAAATCTGGAGCCATAGACTTCGGGTACGTAGTGAACTTTGGACTGCACTTTGTACTTCAGTAGTATTTAGTGGCTGTGACAACTATTATTCACATTCTTTGAGCACCAAATCTAGAGTACATTTAGTTGGCTGGATCCAAAAAATGGGTGAAGGACCTTACTTTCAGTGCTTTAACTCCCAAAGCTAAATTCCTGGTACCATCAGTAGAACATCTTAGGTATCGGATGTCTCTGTTAACCTCCTTCTGTGCTTTCACACACCTGGAAGTGTTCAAGGCCAGGTTGGATGGGGCTTTGAGCAACCAGGTCTGGTGGGAGGTGTCCTTGCCCATGGCAGGAGGGTTGGAACTCGATGATCTTCAAGGTCCCTTCCAATCTAAACCATTCTATGATTCTATGATTCACAGCATCAGAGGTGCTGCTAACAGGCTCATTTTTCTCCTTGGAAGGATACCTTTCTGAAAGAAGATGAAACAATTGTAGTATTTTGTCTTCTTATGTTTAATGGTTAGAATTTTCCTGCGGTTGTAGGAGAGGAAGGAAAGAAGCCTTGGGTCAACAATTCCTGTCCAAGACAGTATGCTAATCAAAGGACTATAGAAACCCATTCTTCCTATTGACACTAGGTTGCTCTGCAGCAGAAACATGACTTAAAGAAGCAGAAGAGCAACTAAGTAAAAGTTTGTTCCCTAGACTCTAAAGTATTTTCCTTTTATATTATGCAAATACTTAAATAAAAATCAGAAATTATCCTGGAAAGCACAAGAGGGAACCCAAGAATGCCTTCATCTTGGAAGCTCCAGGCCTTGGCATGGTACGCAAAAGTTGCATACTTTGGTAATTTTTCTGAAAGTTAACTTTGCATATGGAGCCGCATGCTGAATGCAATGCTTCTTGTGTGTAACAGATGCGGTCAGACCATGTCTAATTTTTTAGGCCTTTTGAGCAAGGAAATATTAAGACATTTAATCTTCAATATGCAAACAGCATGAGAGACAAATATGTGTTTGTCTCAGTCAAGTTTGTGACAATTCTTAGTACAAGCATTTTGCAGAACTTCAGACACCTGTGTTTTGTGTTGAAAACACACAGAACACATAGGGTAGGATTTGACTCTAGGGCAGAGGCCTTTAAACTTTGGCATCTGTATGTGAGCTTAAGTGTCTAATCTCAGGTTCTAGTCAAGGGAGACGCATGCTTGCTACAGTTAGTGGAATTTGGAGAGTTGGCTACCTGATGTCTCAACAGACACCTAACAATAGAAGTGCCTAATATCCCAGAGAGGTGTCTTAAATAGTATCCAAGACACCATCAGCCCAAAATTTTAAGTTATGACACAGAACTTAGGGAAGACCAGTGTCCTGCTAGAGAAGGGCTGGAGGCAAGGTGTGATACTCTAAAGCATCTAATTTACACTGCATATGCAGTGTAAATTGAGCACAGTTCATCAGTGTGATTAGAAAGGAATGGATAGATAGATATACATTTGGATGACTGCACTCTGAGGCTGAGTCCTACTGGTATTATTTTGGGGAAAAAAGTAGATACAAAGTAGACATTTCCCTGGTCACTCTGTTAGGAAAGTGTGTAATTTCTGCCCAAAATTGTTACATGTGCTCAAGTCCCATTTGAGTTTTGCCCAGCAGTTTAATTTACAGAATACCCAGTCTGAAAATCAGCAAATAGTTTGTTAAAATTAATTCAATACAGAATTTTAATATTTTCTAGTAGGCTTCTCCCCTCCTCCCCCAGTATCAAGAATTGATAGAGGTGACTCTGGAGAAGACACTGAAAGTACAGTTTTCACAGAATCACAGAATGGTTAGGGTTGGAAGGGACCTCTGGAGATCATCTAGTCCAACCCCCCCACCAGAGCAGGGTCACCTACAACAGGTTGCACAGGACAGATGGAACTTCCTATGTTCAAGTTTATGCCCATTACCCCTCGTCCTATCACTGGGCGCCACTGAAAAAAGACTGCTCCCATCCCCCTGGCATCCTCCCATTAAGTATTTGTATGTATTAATAAGATCCCCCCTCAATCTTCTTTTCTCTAGACTAAAGAGACCCAAGTCCCTCAGCCTTTCCTCATAAGAAAGGTGCTCCAGTCCCCTAATCATCTTTGTTGCCCTTTGCTGGACCCTCTCGAGCAGTTCCCTGTCTTTCTTGAACTGGGGAGCCCAGAACTGGACACAGTACTCCAGATGCGGTCTCACCAGGGCAGAGTAGAGGGGGAGGATGACCTCCCTCGACCTGCTGGCCACACTCTTCTTGATGCACCCCAGGATGCCATTCGCCTTCTTGGCCGCCAGGGCACATTGCTGGCTCATGGTCATCCTGTTGTCCACCAGGACTCCCAGGTCCCTCTCCACAGAGCTGCTCTCCAGGAGGTCAGCCCCCAACCTGTACTGGTGCATGGGGTTATTCCTCCCCAGATGCAGCACCCTACACTTGCCCTTGTTGAATTTCATCAGGTTTCTCTCTGCCCAACTCTCCAGCCTGTCCAGGTCTCGCTGTAAAGCTGCACAGCCTTCTGGCGTGTCAGCCACTCCTCCCCGTTTTGTGTCATCAGCAAACTTGCTGATGGTACACTCTATCCCTTCATCCAGATCATCAATGAATATGTTGAACAGGACTGGGCCCAGTACTGACCCCTGAGGGGCACCACTTGTTACTAACCTCCAACTTTTTTTTTGCTTTGTTTAAAGTCATTTCAGTGTCATTTTTCATGATTGAAAGTTTATTCTTCTTCAGTAATCAAAGACAGGTATTTCTTCACAAGATTTATGTGATATATATTTTTTTTTAGCTTTCTTTTGTCACTATCTATTGCAGCGATGCTACACAAACAGTGCCCATGCAAATATTGCTGTAGTCCACATTCATCTGTGCTTTATAGTACTCTTCAGTCCATCCTCACATTTTTTTTCTGAGTGCAGGCCAGACATTTTCCTGCTAAAAACAATATGAAACATGAATTAAGCTTGCAAATATTCAGCCTCTGACTCAGACCTTGTGAAGATGTTGGCCGTTTTGTAGGAGGAGACACTTTGATCTATTGAGAAAGATGAGAATCTGTGTGTAACTGCATTCTGAAAACAGAAACTTTCTGCAATGAAGAATAGGTGCATCGTACTTTACGTTTAATGCAAGCCACAGTAGAGCACTGAAAATTTACCAGTGTACATAGCTAACACTAAAATGGTGAAAAGGTAATCCTATAATAGATTTGTTAAAAAATAATTGAATGTGACACAGTATTTTTGCTTAATGTCTGTTTATGCAAAACAATGATTTCAAAACTCTGAAACTCATAGTTCTTTTTTGGCTTCATTGGAAGCTTTGGAGTACTTATTTATAATTCAAAATAAACAACGTTGTACGGATATTAACCAGAAGACAAGAATTTATAAACCAAGGGAATTAATGCATATGTGGTTAAGAAGAAGGAAAAATGCACAGCTAAGTCACCCAAGCAGCCTTGTTTTGCTTGGTACAGTGGCAGCATGAGAAAGAATAAATGTTGAAACTATTCTAGAAATACAAATAGTAACATAAAGTTTTCTAAAAACAGGTGGTTTAGATATTTTGAGTTCTTCCTACATTAACGTGTGTATTCTTAAGCTGTTTTTCTTTCTGGATTTATAATCCCCATTTGGGGATAATTTGTATGCTTTTAGTGTATTTATTCTGAATTTGCTTATTCTTCTGAATAAAATGTACTAAATATGGAATGTCAAATATTTATCTGGCTTGATAAGTTAAGGTTAGTTCAGGGATGTGATTTTAAAGCTTTTTTTCTTTGTTTTTAACATTCAGCTTTGTTTTTGCTAAGACTTCAGTTTTAATGGAACTCTATATTACCTTTTTTTCTCATAGCAAGCAGTAAAGGAGAATGTGAGAAGAAGGGAAGCAGAAGAAAAACAGAGGCGTGCTAAAATAGCTAAGGAGAAAGCAGAAAAAGAAAAACAAGAGAGGCAACAAAAGAAAAAGCGCTTGTTAGAAATGAAAACAGGTAAGTAATGTAGAAAACGCATTTTATCTAGTGTTTTACAGAAATAAAGCTGCTATTTTTTTCATTATCTGAATGTGCTGTGAGAAAAGACAGAATAAATGAATGATTTTCACCAATTAAAGTTTACAGCAAAGAGGTTCTTAAATTTTGTTTTGTTAATGAGCTTCTCTAGTTACCTGTTTTCCTCAGGCTATTTTAGAACTCATAATGCTGCTTTGTATTTTTCTGTTAGAATATATTGAACCTTGTGTGACCGAGTATAAGTTCAGTTATGCTTGGAACGGCTTGCGTTACCTGAGAACAGACATTTTCCAAATCACAAAGCCATTTTCTTATAACTAAGGTTACATATACATTTTTGTTCTTTTATGAGAATAAGCCCTTCTTTGAGTATGTCAATTGTTATTTCAATAGGTTCCTATTGAAACACCTTAAAAGAACCCTCAGCCATGCATTTTTAAAGTTACTCATTTATGCTGTGTTGTCTTTTGTACCAAAAGAGACGACAGACACTGTGAGTTCTCTGTTACTAAAAAAGATGTCTGATGATCCTCTCTGCTGCTATATTTTATCCCAGACTGAGCTTCTGGAATCCTTCAGAATGATACATGACTTACTGTGTAAATTATCGTGAGCTGCTACTCATTTTTTTTTCTGAGCAGATCTTGTTAAACAGTTCCCCACTCAAACCCTGGTCGGCACCTTTGGCATAAATGATTATCTGTCTCTTCCACGTTTCACTAATAGCCAGAGTAGGTGTGTTTAGTTTCAGAGATTCTTCAAGCCAAAAGTCTTTGATTTATTTTCATAGGAACATCCATGTCTTGAGGTGTGAGACTAAAGCTTTCTTTAAGATGGGAAACCAGGCAGCTGCCCTCTGAACACAGAATTTCTAGTTCTTTAGAAGTAAATTCAAGACCTGATGAGAAAACTACCAGTGACAATGTTTTAAAGATAGAGGAGGCTGAAGAAGACTAGGAAAGGGTAAAACTGGTTTCTCTATTCATGCATGATTGGAAGTGTTTCAAAAGAGGTTAGATATTCTTCTCTCAGACATGTATGTATGACTGATAGTGCCGTGGATGGAAAATTGATAGTCTTTCAGGGAAAATTAAAGCTCCTTTCAAGTCCTATTCTTCATAATGTCATGTTCAGGCTTTTTGGAATACAGGTGCCAATGTTACAGACTTCTGAATCCTATAGCCACATGCCTCTGGTAGTTAAACCTACTGCTTCAGCTAATGTGGTTGGGAACTATGTACTTGTCATCTACAGGTCAGGTAGGTAATTGATTAAATAGCTGCTTTGTCTCTGTCGTGGTTTCAGTTGGGAGAGAGTTAACTTTTTTGCTAGCAGCTGGTATAGTGCTATGTTTTGGATTTGGGATGAGAAATACTTTTGATAGTGCACTGCTGTTTTGGGTTGTTGCTGGGCAGTCAAGGCCTTCTCTGGTCCTTGTATCACTCCACCAGCAAGTAGGCTCGGGGTGCACAAGAAGTTGGGAGGGGACACAGCTGGGACAGCTGATGCCAACTAACCAAAGCGATATTCCATAACATGTGATATCATGCTCAGTGTAGACAGCTGGGGGAAGAAGAAGGATGGGGGAGGGCGTTCGGAATTTCTGCGTTGGTCTTTCCAAGTAGTCATTATGTGTGATGGAGCCCTGCTTTCCTGGAGATGGCTGTACACCTGCTTGCCGATGGGAAGTACTGAATGAATTCCTTGTTTTGCTTTGCTTGCATGTGCAGCTTTTGCTTTAACTATTAAACTGTTTTTATCTCAACCCTTGAGGGGTTTTTTCCTCACTTTTACTCTTCTGATTCTCTCCCCCATCCAAACTGGGGGGAGTGAGCAAGCAGCTGTGTGGTTCTAGTTGCCAGCTGGGGTTAAACCCCAACAATGTCTTAGCAGCACTTTTTTTTTTTTTCCATTTATTAAAACATGTAAGTATACAGAAAGAGGTTTCTTGCTCTTGTTAACAGCCACTTAAGGTTCATTCTGGAATGACTGATCCAAACAACAGCAGGTGGGAAAAGATAATCTTAGGATCACCTGAAACTATAAATGTCTTGAGTCTGATATTCACTAAATTTACCATTGATGAATTGTGTTTTGTTCTGCAGAGCTTCTCGTGAGGTTTCTTGTGCTTGTTTGCAACATCATTTTTATAGTCTATTAGAAAACCCAAATTCTGGCAGCGGTGAGCACCTGTGGTAGATTGGTTTGTCAGGAAGGACAGCAATAACAATATGAAAAATGGGGGTTATTTTTTTTTTTATTTATTTTATTTTGGCAGTTTTATCAAAGCTATATGTACTAATTGAAGAGGCATAATGTTGCTCTGATTCTGATGGAAGAGTAACACAGACATTCAAAAATTATTTTTTCCTTTTTTTTTTTCCCTAACCATTACTAGTTCATTGAAAGGCTGTCTTCTCATCTGTGAATCAGTCACAAAATGTTTACATCTGACCTGCTGACAAATTTCTAACGAGGTCCTCCCTCTGTCAAAATACTAAAACACTTTTACCTGGAGTGTGACTGTGGAGTAACTGATTTTTGCTGCATATCATTTCTTTATATGGTGACTAGATCAGATGTTGGATTTGTAGGACCATTAGTTCCATTATTGTTTGAATGAAGTAGCTGAAAACTCATTGATGTCACCATCCTAGAAAATATTTTCTGGGATTCAAACAGGTGCATAGGTGAAGAGAGAAAAGTATAGAGTATACGTACTAACTGGTTCTTGAGATCATAATGTACTCTGCATCTCCACTCTACATTTTTCAGTGACACTGCTTTTTAACTGAAAATGGCCTAAAGGATAGGAACGCCTGTGTATCACTGTGCTGTATGCCATTTTGGAGTTTCTTAATTGTTTCTCTTAAACTTAAAAAAAAAAAAAACACCAAACAACCCCTCTTCACTGGACTGATGATCATTAACAGCACTGCTTGTGCTAATAACTTATTCTTATGCGTTATTTGTCATTAACACTACAAATTAGTTCTTACCATCAATCACTACCACTACATATTCAAAGCAGTTAGTCTCTAACATCTGTGTCCTAAATTTGATGTGAATATAAAATCCCACAGAGCTGATGCTGTAGAGTGGGCAATGGATGGCTACCAGTCATGGCCTTAGTTGACAAGATGACATGGACAAACTCTTCTGCAAGGGAAGCTAGAACTGAAGTGTTGTTTTTTTTTTTTTTTCTTCTTTACCATCTTCTCTTCCCCTCCCCACACCCAGTTCGGGATCTTACTGTTTTATAATATGGTTTAGTTCCTAGACAGTTCCCGACTCTCTTGTCTATCCCTGGATTACATGATGCAAAGTCCTTCAAGGGGTGTTAATTCCCCAGGTCACAGCCATGCTTTCAGCTGGATTTTTTTTTTTCCTTTGCTCAACTGCTGCTTCTGTTCTTAATGTAAAAACAATCTTTTTAAAACACTTTTTTTCAGTGACCGTTAATTGGCCATTAGTGACTTGTTTACAGTCCTGGAGCTTCTGCTTTCAGCCCGGGCCCATAATGTTCAAGGCCTGAGCTGCTATCCAGTGCTTAAACAGGATTTATATCATCATCCGGAGCTTGTTTTGTTAACCACTGGTCCCATTAACAGCACAGACATTTAACCTGTCCTAGATTCTCCTTTGTTCTTGAAGTCCTTCTCTTTGTATCTTTTCAGCTTTCATCTGCTTTTGAAGTTGTTTGAAGAGTAGGGTTTTGTTGCCTAAGGTGCCACCTTCTGCTGCATAAGGTGGATTTATTTCTTCACATGAGTGACCTACATAATGCTGCAAAATTTTAGCTTTTCAGCGAGTATTGCTGACTCTTTTTTTGCATTCACAAAACCCTGAGATCTTAAAGAAGTATGTATGAAACCATAGATTTTATTAATATCTACCAAATATGTGAGTTGAGCCAGTAAGTTGCATATAGCACATTAGGACTGTATCATACCAGGTTTGCCTAGCACTATACAGATTTTTAAAACAAAAGGAAAATTATCAGGTAACTCCTGATTTTTAATTTAAACTACTTTAGGGGGGAGCAGGTAATCCTTCTGGGTGAATACAATAATTTCATCACTAGTAACTGACATTTACTGCAAACCTGAGATCTGAGGTGGTCCTACAGTATACTAGCCTTCTCACAAACTGTAATAGTCTTCCTTAGCCTATGTTGTGCCGTTGATATACAGGTGACAAATTAAGCATCTAGATTGCAGCTTACACTCTGTTATCCATACCCCTGCATCAGAGTGCCTTTGAAATTTTGTTAGACCAAGTTCAGTGTTGATACAGTTATTTTCTAAAATTAGATAAATATGTATAATATATTATAAATCTTAATAAAATTTTCAGGTTTTTTTTATATTTCAGATATAAATAATTATATAAATATTTTGTAGATTGCAAAATATGTGTAGTGTTTTATGAATATGTAGTACACCATCTTTTTAGAAAAACAACATTTTAGGTAGGCTTTATAATATAAATTTAGACCTCTGCTAATAAATAAAAAAAAATAGCTTTTTGTTATTTATATGGAATCGTTTGACTTATTCTCTTGCAAGTATTTTTTTGAGATTTTGACCTGCAGCCAATGTCAGATTTAGATCTCTGTAAATTGTAATTTGCTGAAATTCTCCATCTCTACTTTACATCTTAGTGACACTTTTGTGTCCTGATGATCACAGCTCAAATGGTTCACAGATATAAAAGGAGGAGAGTCGTAAGTTTACATAGGAAAATGCGGAGCTGTTATTTTTATTTTCAGCTCCGTCCTAACTTGGAAAGTATGTGGAATTTGTTAAAAATTTGTAATGTGTAAGCAGTGAATGATATTTGGCATTTTGAGATTTATGATAATAAAATTTGTCCTCTAAATACTCTCTGGGATACATAGTGATATTCATCGTGAGATGCTTTGTCAATACAATTGCTTTACTTGCTTCTGTGAAGCCAGTTCAAACTACCACATACTA